CCTTAAAATGTCCTGCAACAACCTGGTCACCATGCCCCCACTCTAACTGATTTCAAACAGCTTGTGGTTTTGGCATCCCGAGTTCCTTGAACTTTAGATAACCCTGCAGCATTTTCTGCGCAGATAGGGAATGTGGCCTTTCCCCCACTAGAGAGCCTAATGTAAACAGTTTTCATTTACAGGAAGGTATATAGTGATGACGTACTGTCTATCTGTTTAAACAGGTGGTTCCACTGATCTTGTGGGGAACTGCAAGACACCTTCCTGGTGTTGCAATAGAAGGATTTTGAGTGGTGTTCTGCTAAACTTGATCTTCTCTGTTGGTAGTGGGGCTGAGCTGGCCGGGGCATGTGTGTGTGTAGGTGAGGGTGTGCAGTAGTAGTGAGAGAGAGCAATGAAGAGCTCCAAAAAGATGCCGGGGCAGAAACTAGCAGTGCAGAAGTAAAGAGGAAGCTGGGTCCTGGTCACTGGGCCTGGCTGCCCACCCAGCAAGAGAAGCCTCTTCCATGTGTTGAAGGTGCACAGAGTCTGGGTCTGAGAATGGGAGGGGCAATGAGACACACACACACACACACACACACACACACCCGCAGTGGCGGTCAGGGGAGTGGGCATGAGTGAACATGGAACGCAGAGGAAGTAGGCTGAGGCCTGGGCTGATGATGGCTGAGGACAGGCAGTCAGAGAAGAGAGAAACAGACTCCTGAGGTAACTCTACGGTCGTACAACTTTGTCAAGCAGTCCAGGGAGCATTTCAAGCAAAGGTACTAGCACAAAGGCATTCTAGCTACCTGTTCATCTGACCGTCCTTTTCTCAAAACATTCTGGGTCTGCTGTCAATTATGAAGTCAAACTACCAAGCCCCCAAATACCTCAGCTTATTCTTTTGATTAACATCGAAAGATGTGCTTACAGTAAAGACTTATCATTAACAGTGGCTTCAACAGAGTTTCACTTCTGCCCCAAGGGGAGATGGAGCTTTCTAATCTGCTTTCCTGAGATTACACGCCTGAGGCACCACACATACTTCAAAGAGTCACAGTGATTTTTCCCTCAGTGCTGAGATAGTGAACCCAAGGTTTAGACACACTAGACAGGTACTCCATCCCTGAGCTACATTCCAGTCCTTAGTTTTGTGTTCTTTTCATTATAATTGGCCAGTGTTTCCAAGTTCACATCCCTTGAGTTTTTCCCATCACTCACTGCCCACGACTTCCTGGCAGATGCTGTCTTGGGTTTTAGTAAGGAAATCTTGAGACAAGATAGAGAAGGGAGGGGCTGGAGAGATGGCTCAGTGGTTAAGAGCACTGGCTGCTCTTACAGAGGACCCGGGTTCAATTCCCAGCATCCACAGGGCAGCTCACAACCGTCTATAACTCTGGTTCCAGGAGATCTGGCACCCTCACACAGATATACATGTAGGCAAAACACCAATGTACATAAAATGAAAATAAATAAATAATTTTTTAAAAGATAGAAAAGGGAAGTTTAGGGGATATGGGTATTAAATATAAGAAGAGAAAGATCATGGTTGATGCTTTATGAAAGGAGATGACACATAATTACCCTTCATGAATGAGGTTTATTAAGAACCCATGACAGGGCCTTAAAGTGGGAGAACATAAGAAGAAACAATAATATACTAAAAACAGAATAAAACTAAACAAAAAAAAAAAACCTAAAAACTGAGGCCTATGGAAAAGAAGAGGCATTCCTTTAAGACCTGGAAAGGAGGTTCACTAAGAGTGAGATTAAGGGGCTTGACTCATTGACTAAGAATACTTGCTGTTCTTAGTCTTCCAGAAGACCTGAGTTCCATTCCCAGTATTCACATAGCAGTTCAGAATTGTAATTCCAGTCTCAGGATATCGCCTCTTCTGATGTCCAAGGGCACTGCACTCACTGGTGCACAGACATAATTACAGGCAAAACACCATACACATATACACATAAAATAAAAATAAAGATTAAAAATGTTTGAGAGAGAGAAAGAAAGAGAGAGAGAAATAGGGAAGACTTTTGCAAGTTTTGGGGGGCTGGCTGGAAGTTTTACACCATGTGATTTGGTGTTCAATGATACACATGACAGAGAGGATAGAGGAACCAGGTACCATAAATTAAGAGCTATTAACCACAGCACAGACCAGCTAAACTCTGTACCAGGAAAAAAGCGAGGGAGTGGGAACGGAGAGGTGCCTCTGACATTAAGATCACCAGCATTGTGCAGCTCCCAGCTCCCTGTAACTCTGGCTCCAGGAGATTTGATGCTCCCTCTTCTGGCCTCTGAGGACACCTGCACTACAACATGAACACATCAATATATATACATAAATTAAAAATAAAATAAATATTTTTAAAGAGAGAGAAAATAGGAGGCACAACTTAGAGAAAGCATTGGAGGAACCAGAATTATTAGACATACAAGCCTATTTTCTTCAAGGAAAGAAAATGATGCCTTTTCACCCAGAAGACTGGAGTGGATGTTGTCTAATGTCCTAGAGATCTTTTTGCTATTCTATGGAGCCAGCCTTCACCTGACTCTCCGCAAATCCTGAGCGTTGTTTAGGCCCTCATCCTGAGCTTTGTCTCTCAGTGAATAGAACCTATCCTTATGAAAGAGGTCTCATGTACTTCGTATCCTCCATCAATAGCATCTATCCTTCTGCTTATTACAAATCCTTCCTCCTTAGGCCCATACCCTGATCTCCTGTTGTAAAGGTCACAGGGGCTTTGTTACAGAGATGTGCGTGGAGAGCCCAGGGGTACATATAAATTTATTAAGGGGTGCAACGGAGAAACAGCAAGGTAGCTCCCGTTCTCCCCAAGGCCGATAGGGGCCAACTGCAAGTGTTTTCCTCTGCCTGACCTGGTCTCCTCACCCCAAGAGAGAGCACGACCCTTTCCCTGTCCTCTTCAGTGGCCATGAACGCAGACAAGAAGACACTCTTTGTACCCCAAAGCTATTGGCGGTCCAAATTCCCACAACACAGATGCACTCTGCAAGGGAGTTTCGACACAGCCCTCCCTGAAGCTTTGCTGTGGTAACTGCCACATGGAGACGTTCCTCCAAAGTTTTACCGTGTTTAAACGTGAGGTCAGACTCTGGAAGGGTTTGACCCCAGACATGCTAACATGGTGCTGACCCAAGTTTCATTCTTCACCTCTCGAAGCTTGCAGGGACCCTTTTAGCGGGGCATGGCTTGATTTCTTCAGTCTGTTGGAACTGCTCTCTTCGAGTGAATCATGTCTTAAAGAGGTAGGCCTGTGTTCTAACAATGGGAAAGAGAAGCCCCTTATCTCAGAATCTGGCCAGGAATCAGAAACCTGAACACAACTTATAAAACCAAGATTGCCTACAGAAACAATATCTGCTTTCCCAAAAGACAGCTCAAGTAAGAATGGGAAAAACATTAATGAACCACACACATTCGGGGCCGGAATGTGTGGCCTTGAGTTTCGATGTGCAAGCTCGCCTCTGTCATCCCTAGGTCTAAACAATGCACCTCAGAAAATCACATTACAGTCTCATCTACAAAATTATTATAGAAAAAATAAATAAACCAACTCAGATTTTCCTAAACTGAATTTTAGTTCTTGCTTAATCATTAAACCTTGTTGTGAATTCTATCCTTTGAGCAGTGGAATTTAGAAAGCTATGGCATCAACTAGATGTGGTGGAGCACAGTTGTAAATCCAGCACTTGGGAGGCAGAGGCAGGAAGATCACCATACGTCTGAGGCCAGCCTGGTCTCGACAAAGTAGGTTCCAAGATGGCCTTGGGCCACATAGTGAGAACCTGCCTAAAAAGAAAAAGACACAAAATTGTATTTGTCCGTTGTAAAAACACCCAAGTGTAGCTCTGTCTCGAGACATTTAATACCTACATCTTGGTAGGGGCAGTGTTCTGTCCTTTTCAGCATCTCGCTCACCAGTGTCCATCCTTAAATATAAATCTACCGTCCATTAGGTGTTACTTATAACTCACTAACTTTCACATCTGCTTGTCCCAAAGTCTTTCCTATAACGTAGCCAAAGATCTGGCCTTACCCTAGCTGGGATCCCCTTCAGCTGCCGCTGCAGCGGTCTATCTCCCTGCTCCTCACCACCAGAGTGGATCAGAAGATTTACTGGAAGCTGTCTGTGGTGGTTTGTGCCTGTAACTCCAGCACTTGGGAGGCAGAAGCAGAAAGAAAAGAAACGCAAGGTCACCCTCAGCTACACAGTAAGTTTAAGGCCAGCCTGTGTTATCTGAGACTTCTGTCTCATGAAACAAAAGTGAAGACCAAAAGGATGGGGGGTGGGGGGAGGGACAGCCCAGCCCAGTGCGGAGTGTGCCACACTAAAGAATGTCCTCCCCAGCAGGTGTCCCAGCCCAGTGCGGAGTGTGCCACACTAAAGAATGTCCTCCCCAGCAGGTGTCCCAGCCCAGAGCGGAGTGTGCCACACTAAAGAATGTCCTCCCCAGCAGATGTCCCAGCACAGTGCGGAGTGTGCCACACTAAAGAATGTCCTCCCCAGCAGGTGTCCCAGCAAACACTAATTTTCCCGGATGAGGCGGAGCTGCCCTGGCTCTGCGGAACCTCAGCTACTTTCTAAGCTGTTTCCATCTTCCACAGACGCCTCTCCCCAGCCTCTGCTCCCTCACTAACAGTTAAGGGCTGCTGGCCAGGTCCCTGTAGAGGGAGCTGGAGGGACATAGACTTGCCTCTGCCAGCTCCACCCTGGTTTCTGAGGGCTGTCCTCATCCAGTGAGCCAGGAAATGGGTAACAGTGCCCTCTTTTGTATTGTTCGGTTTTGCTTTGTTTTGTTTCCCATTCTAAAGTACAATATGGATATTTTACAAAAGTAAAAACAGAAGCATAGTGAAAAGTTTTATTAGGGATTTGGATGAAAATTTAAACATAGAAATCACCTTCGCATTTGTATGCAGTAAGTTTGGAAGCACAGACCTCATGAAAGATGAAAAAAGATTGGTTAGGTCTTGTCAGTTAGCAGAGACGGTCCAGGTGCTGTTGGCAAGCACTGCGGGCTGACGTCTCCCCTCAGAGGATGACAGGCGAATTGCTCACTCTCGGTCCTGGGGCAGGCAGGACCTGTTTGTCTGGGACTTCGTCATCTGGAGGCGGCTCTTCCGGGTGGTGGGAGCCTTGACTCTGCCTTCTGAATTCAGCTCCGGGTGACCCATCTGCTTCGCCGCTAGAGGCGACAAATGCAAGCTCTGGGCCACGCTCTGCAAGCAGTTCAGGCTGAGCGGTGGGAAGACTGCTGAACCGTGACCAGAATGTGGCGTCACGCTTCCGGGGGACGCGCGCACTTCCTCAGAGTCATGCAGTTACAGTCATGATGAACACAGCTGGGAACAAGCGAAAGCGATGCTGCAATACTCCCTGGGAAGACAGAACAGCAAAAGTCCCATGTGGGTTGGACCTCTTAGATCCGGTCTGCGCATTTTCTTCCACTCAAGAGTGACCCGAGATTCTCTTTGTGACTTTGCAATGTGGAAGACCTGTAAGGATTAAAATCGTGAGACACCAATCCCCTGCAGAACTGCCCCGAAGAAGACACTGAGGAGGAAATAGGAGGCTAAGAGAGGGTAGGGAGAGTGTGGAGAGGGCATGGCTGCGTTGGCTAGGAGGAAAATCGGAAATACAAATATGGGGTAGAGAAAAGCCTTACACATGCTACTGTTCACATATCCAGAGAGAAACCAGAATATAAGGTTTTCATGTAGCATTTCATTTGTTCTGTGTTGCTGGGTCTGGAACTCAGGTCTCCAGTATCCTAGGGTTGCCAAAGTTCCCTTCCACGGAGCTTATACCCCCCAACCCCTCAGATGTAACATTTTTAATTGGCCTACCTAAAATAAGGTTCCATTAAACACACACAAAACCACGTTTCTAGTCAAGCTTCAGATGGCCCTCTCTGCAACTTGACCTGAACCACCTGGGTGAAAGGTGGACCCAGAGCTACCAGGACCAAGTGCTATCTTTTGTTCTGTGGTTTGTTTTTATTTGTTTGTAGCCCAGGCTGGTTTTGACTTTCACTGTATAGACAGGGATGGTGAAACTGTGATCCTCCTGCCTGTGCCCCACAAGTACCAGGTTTATAGATGTGTGTCACTGCTCCCACCTTTGGTGAGCTTTCTTTGATGTCATCCCCAGTAACTCAGGCTGGCCTTGAACTCCTGATCCTCAGGCCTTAGCTTCCATGGGCTGGGGGTGTCGGCATGTGACACTACGCTCAGCTCCCATGTTACCCCAGTGCAGAGAACTGGCCACTAAAGGTGGAAGATGCTGTGAGATATAAGAAGATGCAGAGCCAAGGGTCACGTGGGCGTGGTTTAGCAAAAATTCACGGGCAGAACAGCATCTTGACAAGATGCTCCCTGTACCCCAAACCAGAAGCAAGGGGTTTAAATGCTTAGACAACAGTGGTCTGCAGCTCCCTGAATGCACCTGGTCGTTCTCACTATTAATAACATGTCTCCATCAGTCAAGAAACAGCCCAGCATTGGTGGCTGGCACACCACACTTCACCGTCTAAAAGATTTCATTTGTCTTATAGGCTCTGGGATATATGCCAGGGTTGCCTGGAGCACAAGACTGCAATTATGCCCAAGATGGTTGTAATCATGCCAAATGGATCCCTACAGCAATTTTATTTGAAATACAGAATTCTAGGAGATTTCATCATACTAACTAGACTTCTACTATTTTAATCAAGGGCTTAAAATATAGTACTGTGTGTTTGAAAAGGCTTTTCCCATGTCATAATTTATTTCAAGGACATGCTCTCGGAGAAGTTGCTTGTGGTAGTCATAAAACATTGTCCTCAGGCCTCATAACCATTAATCATCTCTCTCTCTCTCTCTCTCTCTCTCTCTCTCTCTCTCTCTCTCTCTCTCTCTCTTTGTGTGTGTATGTGTGTGTATGCAGGCTGTATCTCCCCTTCTCTCTGTCTCTCTCTCTCTGTCTCTGTGTGTGTGTGTGTGTGTGTGTGTGTGTGTGTGTGTGTGTAGGCTGGAAGTACCTTTCTTGATCACATTTGGTAAAGGTGGTGTTGGTGGTCATATAGAGTCCTTCCCTGGCATGGAAAAGGAATTGAACTTACAGAGAAGACAGAAAACCAAGATGCGAAGAAAGAAAAAAATAACAGCTTTAAACCTTCAGGATGGGAGGGGCCCTAAGGCTAGGAGTCCTAAATCACTCTGACTTGGGTGTTCTAATAGACCCCTGAGTACTCCCCTTCCCCCTATTAGTCCTGTTTAGAAACCCACCTCTGATCAGATGTGGTGGCACACCTTTAATCCCAGTGCTCAGGAGGCAGAGGCAGGCAGATCTCTGAGTTTGAAGCCAGTCTGGTTACAGAGCGAGTTCAAGGACAGCCAGGGCTACACGGAGAAACACTATCTCAAAAAAAACAAACAAACAAAAGAGAAAAGAAAAAAGAAGGAAGGAAGGAAGGAAGGAAGGAAGGAAGGAAGGAAGGAAGGAAGGAAGGAAGGAAGGAAGGAAGGAAAGAAGAAAGAAACCCACCTCTGTGCCTTCCCACCTTTGCTAAATGTCTTCCAGGGAACAGGAAGCTGCCTACTCAGAGTACCTGCTTTCACTTTCTTTGTCTATGTGTACCCCTCTAACTCTCCTTCACCTCATTTTCTTTTCATTTTTCATTGCATTCACTTGTAGGACAGAAGAGGCACATCTCTTCTTCCACCGTATGGGTCCTGGGATGGAACTCAGGTCATCAGGACTGATAATGAGCACTGAAGGGACTCTGGCCAGCTCAAGTGTGGCAAGCATGGCTCCAGCAGGCCTTGCCTTTCTCCCCCACTCCCCCTCCCTTGCTAAAAAAACAAACAAACAACAACAAAGTTAGGTTACATTCCTAAAACTAGCCACCAAGGTCTAGTCCCTTATTTGGACACTTCCTCCTCCTGAGGCTGACTACCAGGGTCCAGTTATCAAAGTATTGAAGTCCAACAATCAAAAGCTCCCTTTGGCTCACATAATTAACATGCCTAATTAAAATTAAACACCTCTCCCTAACACGGGGTTTCCCCTTGTACTTTTATAAACTGCCATTTTCTTATGGGTCACATCTGTCTCCTCCCTATCCAGAAAGTCCTTTTGCCCCCTCTGGGACAAATACCCCTGTCCCCTCTCCCTGGCTCCCTCCCCCTTCTCCCTCATCCTCTGTCTCTTGTCTTTGTCCCTTATCCCTGCCCTCTGTCCCTCTGGGGTAAATAAATCTCCTTTGTGCTGAGAACTTGTTCTTGGGGTGTCCTGAGCCAATACTTCTTTTAGGCACCCTCACCCACTCAGCCGTCTTGATGACCCACCCACCACCTTATTTTCTTTTTTAATAGTCTCTTGCAGAGCCCGGAGATCATCAGCTCAGCTTCACTGAATGGCCAGCAAATCCCAGGGGTCCTCACTTCTGTCCTCCCAGTGCTGGATTACAGGTGAACACGACTATGTTTTATGTGGGTGCTGGGGATCTAAGCTGGGGTCCTCACTGTCTCAGTGAAAGTACTTTATGACTAAGCAATTTCTTAAACCCACCATTAGCATCTTAATAGAGAGGCTGTGAATGCACAAGAGATTCTCACAAGATAGGGCCTATTGATGTTCCCTTGAAGAAGGAGGATTGGTCCAGCCAGGGATGTCCCCCACCCTACATATCATCTGGGTAGTGTATATAAGGGGTAAAAGTTACATGTGATAGTTGTAGACATCCTAGCCATTTCCCTTTGTGAGTGTGTCTGTATGGTATGTGTGTAAGTGTGTATATGTATGTGTGTGAGTGTGTGTATATGTGTACATGGTTGTGTGTGTCTATGTATGTATGTCTGTGTGTGTGTGTGGTGTGTGTGTGTATGGCTGTATGTGTGTGTATGCGTGTATATGGTTGTATGAGTGTGTGTATGGTGTATATAATGTGTGTATATGTGTGTGTATATGGTTGTATGAGTGTGTGTGGTGTGAGTATGTGTGTGTGTATGGTTGTGTGTGTATGTGTGTATATAGTTGTATAACTGTGTGTACGGATGTGTATATATATATATATGTGTGTGTGTATATATATATATATATGGAGTATGTATATATGTATGGGGGTGTATGTGTATATGATTGTATGAGTGTGTTCGTGTGTGTATGTGTGTATGTGTATGGTTGTGTGTGTATGTGTGTATATGGTTGTATGAGTGTGTGTGTGTGTGTGTGTGTGTGTGTGTGTGTGTGTGTGTAGGCAGGAGGACGAGGGAACTTGCATGGTGCAGCTTCAGAGAGTTGCTGCTGTGCTGAGATGAGACTTCTCCGAGATGCGGTTGTGTTGGAGTCATCCACACTCCTGCAACCCTCACCGTGCCCTGTAAATAAGCCTGATAAACTCTTTGGTTCACTAAGCTGGACTTGAGAAGAATCATTTACTGATCTGTTGTTGGTGCCTCATCTAGAGTAGATGCTTGTACATATCCTCCAAGAAAAAGTTAGTACAGTAATCTTTCTTCCTCCTCATCTTCTTCCCCTGCCCTTCGAAACAGGGCTTCACTCTGTTGCCCTGAATGTCCTGGAACTTGCTTTGTAGGCCAGGATGGCTTCAGACTCACTGAGATCTACCTGTCTCTGCCTCCTGAGTGCTGGGATTAAAGGTGTATGCCACCACCACCCAACCCTCCTCATCTTCTTTAAAAGTATTTTATGGTGGTTATACTGGTTAGTTATTCTCAGCATTACACAAACTAGATTTGCCTGGGAAGAGGGAACCTCAGTTGGGAAATTGCCTCTATCAGATCGATCTCTGGGCATGTCTGTGAGGGCATTTTCTTGGTTAATGATTAATGAAGGGCCCAGTTCACTGTGTAAAATGCCACCCTTGGGCAGGTGATCTTGAATTGTATAATAAAGCAAGCTGAGAGCCAGGTATAGTGGGTGCATACCTTTAATCCCAGCACTCCTGAGGCAGAGGCAGGCTCATCTCTGAGTTCAAGGCCAGCCCCTGCTCTACATAGGGGACTCCAGGCCAGCCATGGCTACATAGCAAGACCTTGTCTCATAAAAAAAAAAAAGTCCACAGCAACTTTACTCATGAGAGCCCAAACTGGAGGGAGCCAAGTGTCTGTCAGCAGGGGATGTAAACACGTTGTGGTATGCTTGCAACAGTGCTACTCAGCAAGTGAAAGCTCAAACTACTGAAGACAGAGTGGTGGCTCAGTGGTTATGAGCACTTACTGCTCTGACAGAAGACCAGCGTTCAGTTCCCAGTGCCCACATGATGTCTTACAATGGTCCACAAAAGTTCCAGGGGATTCAATTCCTTCTGTCCTCCTCTGGTACCAGATACATACTTAGTACACACCCATACATGCCGGCAAAACACTCATACACATAAAATAAAAATAAATCAATCTTTAAAATAAAAGAACAGACTATTGATGCATAGAGCTACATGGGCAAGTTGCAAATATATTATAGAAGGAAGTCTTCCCCACAAGTGTGTGCTGCTGGTCTTATGTGAACTACTGGGATCAAATCAGCGGGAAAACCCAGAGCAGCTTATGTTTCCATGGATAGAGTGACTAGAATGGCATGGGTGTTCTGGGCTGCTAGAACGTTCTGTGCATCTGCAAAGGATCTTGGGTAACATAGTTATGTGTATTTGCAAGAACTCAACAGATGTGCAGTTACAATTAGTGCTTTATTGCCAATTTAATATTAAAATAAAAAACTACAAGAAAAATTTCTTTTGGAGACAGGGTCACAGTATGTAGCCCTGGCTGGACTGAAACTCATATGTAGATCAGATTGGCTTCAAATCACAGAGATCTTCAGCCTCTGCCTCCAGAACGCTGGGATTAAAGGTGTGCGTAACCATGTGCAGCATACAAGCAAATATTCTATAATGGTGTACATGCTCAAGTATTCAGGGTAAAGCTGTAGGCATCCGTATTTTTTTTTTTTTTTTTTTTTTTTGGTTTTTCGAGACAGGGTTTCTCTGTGTAGTTTTGCGCCTTTCCTGGAACTCACTTGGTAGCCCAGGCTGGCCTCGAACTCACAGAGATCCGCCTGCCTCTGCCTCCCGAGTGCTGGGATTAAAGGCGTGCGCCACCACCGCCCGGCGGCATCCGTATTTTAATGCTGTAACAATCTACCCTAAATGTATCACAGACAGCAGGTGGTTTGGAGTCTGCCACTGTCTGGGCAGGTAAAGGTTTGACAGATGAGGGTCTCCGTAGGCCCAGCCCTTCCTCTCCTCTTCGGGGGCAGCATCGGTCTGCAAGACTGCAAAGATTCAGGGTCCTTAGGCCTTCTCAGCAGCACTCAGCAAAGCCTTCTGCATGGTGCCTATGGTGCCTATCCTTTTCTCCAAGAACAGGAGTGAACATGAGTGTCCTGAGGAAATACTAGGAGCCTAGAAACTTCCATCCAGTCAAAGATCCCTGTCACATGAGGCCTGGTCAAAAATTGTGAATGATGTCAGCTCTGATATCCGCACTGATTTCCAGTTCCCAAAATTTCTCCAGGCTTGTGGGCCTGAATCCTGACTTGGAGGAACCCAAGCAATGGGTGACTCCAGTTGCCAGTCACAGAAAGTTGAAGTGTGTGGCCCTGGACAACCAACTGAGGGTACTCTAACCACTAGACCCCAGAGACACAGGATCTCAGCCCAGAGACAACCCCGGTGGACTGCTGGAACCCTTATAGACACAGGAATCAGAAGGCAGGTGAATATGACCAGAAAGAACACAGGTTGCCGGGGGCACATCAGACAGATCTGTTATGCCGCAATGCACGACCACAAAGCATGCATGTTTACCATGAGTCTCAGGGCTGTGCAGCTCACGCTCCTGCCAAATTGTGTTTTCATGCCTCAGGGGAAAACCCTATTATTAGCAGTCACTCCATCCTTCTCTGGTCCTAGAATCCACTACAGGTTCATCTATATCACAGAGACTATACTAAGCATATATTGCTTATTTGAAGCACAAATTCATCTAGACTTCCATGTTTTTATTTATTAAAGCTGGCCACCTCTATGTAAGTGTCCAGGGACCTCATTTGGGAAGGTGACCTGAGCCTGGGACTATCTGCCCATGAAATGTCTTCTCTTATAGTGTCACCTCTCACTTACAAATTTCCAAGAAAACAGCCTCAAGAAAGCAGGCAGCACCTGAGTCCATCCTAGGCTGTATGACTGCTCTGAACGTCCTAGATATAGCTCTCCACAGAAAGTCCAGGTCCAGACACAGTGCTAGATAGGCAGTCAGTGAGTGTGATTTTCAGGTTTAGTAGGACCTAAAGATTTTTTATGAATATATCATTGCCTGAACTTCTGTTCCTCTACTTCTAGTTCTTTTTATATATTTAAGAGTAAAGTTCAATGTGGTGGTGCATGCTTAAATCTCAGCACTCTAGAAGTGGAGGCAAGGAGAACCAAGAGTTGAAAGTCGTCTTTGGCTACTTAGTGAGCTTAAAGCCAGCCTGGGCTACATGAGACTCTATCTCAATGTTCCCTTGTTCACACACATACACACACACACACACACACACACACACACACACACACACACACACACACGCAGAGCAGTTCTATTTTTATTTCTTTTGTTGTTTGAGACAGGCATGGTGCCACAGCGGGCCCACTAGCTTCTGGCAGCACAGCCACCTTCCTTCCTTCTGCTGATGGAACAACTTCAACAATCCCAGTAACATAATCCAGGTCCTAAGCACCAGGACTAGCTTCCTGTACTCACACCCACACAGCCACTCCTTGCCCTCATCCTCTGACCTGCGGGCAGCTTCCCTGTGTTTTAGTTGCCCGTGTCTTTATCATCTCAAGAGATACCAAATGGAAATATCTATCCTTGCTGAAACCATTGGAGCCAGATGCAGTATGGTAACCACGTATTCCCAGCATTCTGAGGCTGAGGCAGGAAGAACATTTTGAAACTAGCCTGGGCAGCAAAACAGACCCTCACTTCACAAAATACAATATATTACCATTCTGGAACCTAAAATAATTTTAAAAATTTTCTGTATCAGTATTTATTTTAGACTAGTAGAATTCCCACATAGTCCATGTTTCCCACTGTGAACACCCTCGGTAACGTGGTGCTTTGTGGGCTTGTTCTGTTTCATTGCTGTACATTAACCGTGGGTTTCATGATGCCATTTTCACAGCGTGGTGCATCCGTTATCCCTGTGAGGCCAGTATTGGGACATGGAAGTCCCACTTCAGGCACTGGTGCTGCAGTTCAATGTTACAGTACTTTCCTGGAGTGTTCAATACCCTAGGTTCAGTTCCCAGCACTGTATAAAAACCAGTATGGAGGCACCCTTATAATCTAGTACTTAAGAGGTGAAGGCAAGAGCATCAAAATTTTAAGGTCACCCTTGGCTACATAGCAAGCTGGAGGCCAGCCTGGGGAACATGAGATTGTCTCAAAAAAAAAAAAAAGAAATCACACCTCAATCCCTTCTTATTTCCTCAAAGTTACTCAGGCTGTCTCTTCTGTCCGGGATCCCATGCATCATTTACAGTCTGTCTCCTTAGGCTTCTCCTTGCTGAGAGTAACTCAGATTTTTTTCTTTTCCTTCGTATACCAGGCTGGCTGGGAACTCACGATGTAGCCCAGGTTGGCCTGCAGCTATCCTCCTGCCTCAGGCTCTCAAATGCTGAGAAGACAGGTCAGCATGCCTGACTAGAGACTTCTTTTCTCTGTGACAGTCTCTGGGTGGTTAGGAGCACGGGACAGGTAAGTTGCAAACTGTTGCTCTGCCAGCATTTGTCACATGTTTTTCCTTATGATGACAAGACAGGGGCTTGGGGACAGGAAACTCAACCAGATGAAGGGCCTGTGATGGCTTAAATAGAAACTGCCCCCCATAGTCTGTGGCATTTGGATGGTTGGTCCCCAGCACTGTTTGAGAAGGTTAGCAGCCGTGGCCTTGTCACTGGAGGTGGGCTTTGAGGTTTCAAAGCCTCTCAGCATTCCCAGTTAGCGCTCTCTACTTCCTGCTTGCAGTTTAAGATGTGAACCCTTAGCTTGCTGCCCAGTCACCATGCCTGCCTGCTACTGTGCTTCCTGCCATGACGGTGATGGACGCTTCATTGTTGTTTTTATTTGTTTTCTGTTGTTTTGTTTTTGTTTTTTGCTGTTTTTTTTGTTTTGTTTTGTTTTCTGGGTAACCCTGGCTGTCCTGGAACTCACTCTGTAGACCAGGCTGGCCTCAAACTCACAGAAATTGCCTGCCTCTGCCTCTCGAGTTCTGGGATTAAAAGCATGGGCCACCACTTTGCAGCTTGGTGATAGACTCTTATCCCTCTGATATCTTAAGCCCAAATAAAGCCTTTCTTCTATCAATTGCCATAGCAGGACGTTCTATTCTATCATAGCAGTAGAAGAGTAATATAATGCCCCTCTTGTCATGTTGTCTCAGGGCCTTGTTATCACCGTATCTCACCATTACACTACTCGGTTGTTATCCTCTCTTTTCACGCTGTGTCCTGTGGAAAAGGGTCACTGTATTTGGATGGGAGTGTGCTACTTTGCTTTCCATTGCTATGATATAACACTCTGACCAAAAGCAATTTGGGGAGGAAAGGGTTTATTTGGTTTACATTTCTAGGTCACAGCCCATCATTTAGGGAAATCAGGGCAGGAACATAGAGCAACACTGTTTGCTGGTTCAATCACTCCCAGGCTTATGCTAGTTTCTTTCTTTCTTTCTCTCTCTGTTTTTTTACCTCCTTCCCCACCTCCCCGGAGCTGAGGACCAAACCCAGGCCTTGAGCTTGCTAGGCAAGCGCTCTACCACTGAGCTAAATCCCCAAGCCCTCTTTTTTTTTTTTTTTTTTTTTTTTAAGATTTACTTATTTATTATGTATACAGTGTTCTGTCTGCACACCAGAAGAGGGCACCAGAGCTCATTATAAATGGTGTGTTTGCTGGGAATTGAACTCAAGACCTCTGGAGGTGCTCTTAACCTCTGAGCCATCTCTCCAGCCCCCTTATACAGATGGTTTCTTATACAGCCCAGGACTACCTGCCTAAGGATGGTGCCGCCCACAATGGACTAGGTCCTCCTGCAATAACAATCAAGACAATCCTCCACAGACATGCCCACAGGCCAATGTGAACTATGGAATTCCTCATAGAGATTTTCCTCCCAGATAACTCTAGGCTGTGTCAAGTAGACAAAGCTGACTAGGACAGGGGAGTGAGGCTCCTCTTCCTGAATCTACTATACGGAATGTTCTACTTGGGACATTCTTTCCCCCAGTTACGTATTCAGTCATTCTTCATTTACATGTGTGAGAACCCACGTGGACTTGCTTATATTTGGCCCATAGCCCAGCATTATGTCACTGATTTTACTGTTTAGAATCTAGATCACTCCAGCGTCAGCCATTAGGAACACCTTCCGCTGTGTCTCTGGTCTAATCCCACGGTGGAGGGTCGCTTGTTTTGCTGATGCTTTTTTCACTTCCTGAGTGTATTAATCTGCTTGAGTTGCCATAACTAAGCACCACAAAGTAGTTTAAAGAACAGACACTCCTTTCTTCAGTTCTGGAGCTGGACATCTGCAGTCAGGATGCCTGCAGGGCTGGTTCACCTGAGGCTTCTCTCTTAAGCCTGCAGATGTTCCCTTCTCCCCATGACTTCACCTGGCTTTCTCTGTGTGCTCCAGGAGTCTCTTCCTCTTACATGGGAACCATCCATGAGACGAGGGACCCATCCCCCATGATCCCATTTAACTGTAATTACCTCATTAAAGAATTTGGCTCCAAACACAATCACATTGGAGCTTCAGTATATGATTGGAGGGGAACACAATTTGGTCCATAACAGTAGCTCTAAAAGATACTCCAGGAACATGGATGTTTCCTGAGGCTAGTCCATCATCCTCTGTGTCTCCAGGTGCTGTGGGTTCTTTATTAAAAAATGATGTTAGAAGCCAGGATCTGGGTGATATCTGTGTTCCCTGCAGTGTCTTTGCTGCTTCTACCAAAAGTAGAAACATACGTGTGCTGCACTCTGCACATACATATGTGTAATGTATGTATCCACGACCAGCCATATTAGGAAGGAGCTCAACTGATGTCTCCAATCCTAATTTACCTGGATTATTCAAGCCCAGTCTCTGGTTGTTCTGTGATAGAACTCTCACCGCACACTGAGACACCTAGCCTTGCTACCTGGCCTCCGTCTACCTTGCTCTGTGGTTCCAAGAGCTTGGACAGACGCTTCAGAATCCTTTGCCAATCAACTTTACCAAACAGAGATAAGCATCTATGTGCAGTTCTTTCTGCCTTTCGTCTTTCAGAGTTCACTCGCTTCTAAAATTACCGAGGTCAGCGCCAAGCCCTCTCCAGCAATGCCATCTGCTGTATTTGTGATACAGTCACAGTCCTCCTCACATCTGAATTCCATCCTGGGACTCCCCACCTCCTAAATGACTAAATTCACATACATTAAGGTAGAGTTTCAGGTGTCTACAATTACAAAATAGTTCAACTGTCTTGAAAATCCCTTGTGCTCTACCTATCATCCCTTCTTCCTCCCCTCCCAGCCCAACTCCTTGATTTTCCCAGAGTATCTGCCTAGCCTTTTTGAATGGCTTCTTCCACTTAGTCTGAGCACTGTGACTCATCCCTGTTTCCACATGCCTGGGCAACATATTCCTTCTTTCTGTAATTGAATGTATGTAATGGTTTATTTATTGCTATCATTTGAATATGACTCCTCTTTCACAGGCATGCACTGGGGCATATGGTAGCCAGCTGAGGACTTTGGAACTGTGACTGGACCCTGAGAGCTCTGACCTCATTGTGAATTAATCCCTCGATGGAGTCATAATATGATGACATTATTGAGGTGGTAAAAAGTAGAAGATGGGGCCTGGTCTAAGGAAGTAAGTCATCCTGGAAAGACAGTCTTGTGCCCTGCTTCCTCTCCTATCTGTGTCTGCTTCAGTCCACCATGAGGTAAAGCTACTTGGTTCTACTACGCCCCACCCTCGTGAAGGTCTGCCTTACCTCAGGCCCAGACAACAGGTGGCTAAGGGACTGTGCGCTAAAACCTTTGAGACTGTGAACCAAAGTGAATCACCCCTTAATTCGGTTTTCCTTGGCTATCGCACTTACCTATTCACCTACTGAAGGAAGTCTTGCTTGTTCAGTTTGGGACAAGTATGAGGAAAGATGCTACAAATCTTTCCCTCTTACTCCCACCAAGATGTGCAGAGGCAGAAGCTTGCGCTCATTCAAGATCCGGCTTCTCGCATAACCCACAGCACAACCTTTGCAGAGGAAGCATTGCCGCTGAAGGTGTAGTAGATGCTTACCACTTTACAAGAGGTGCTGAAGGCTACCCTCATCCATGATGGACTAGTCTGTGGAAGCTGGAGTGACTGCCAAAACCTCCGATGAGAGCCAAGGCCCTCTCTGTGTGCTGGTATCCAATTGTGAGGAGCCTCTGTACGTCAAGGGCCTCAAGGTGGAGGCCCTTTGAGCCGAGCACCAAGCAACCTAATTAAGGTTGATAACAATAAGAAACTAGGGGAGATTCATTAGCCTCCGTAAAACTGATCGTGAGGGGAACCACACCAAGTGGTTGATGGCAGTTGTGCAGTAGTTAAGGACTGTGGCCTCAGGCCAGCATGTCACCAAAGAATACTTCAAATAAAAGAAATAAACAAAATTTGGCTCATTTTAAAAAATGCTACAAATATTCATATGAACTTTTTTTTAAATTAAATATCTATTTATTTATTATGTATACAGTGTTCTGTCTGCATACATTCCCGCAGCCAGAAGAGGGCACCAGATCTCATATAGATGGCTGTGAGCCACTAGGTGGTGGCTGGAAATTGAACCTCTGGAAGAATAGCCAGTACTCTTAACCTCTGAGCCATCTTTTCAGCCCCTTACATGAACTTTTTTTTTTTTTTTTTTTTTCTTCGAGACAGGGTTTCTCT